GATCTTCCCGCCACGTTTACCGGTGCCCAAAGAAGTCCCGCCTTTTTCGCAACCGGACCGGTCTCGGCGCAGCCGATGTCATTTGCCTCGACGAACAAATAAGTTGACAGTTTGCCAAGTCGTTAACTCCAAACATCTACTTACTACAAGGGCTGACGTACCCCAACTACAGTTACTCAGTATCACCCTTCCCGGTGTCATATGGAAAACGTGATGTGATCATCTTTTGATCACACGCCGCACGATGTAAGCGGACTTAGCCTATAGATCTATAACCGACACTTATGCGACCCGGAATACCCGCTAGGTATTCACGTCTACTTCCATCTATGGCCGGATTCACGCTGACTTCTATCTATCCATTTTCTATGGAAGCGCCGCCCAAAACGGCCGATTTTTTAGCAGTATGCGTGAACGCGGCGCGCTTTACTAAATAGATACCTAAATAGGGAGCAGGATTGCATTCACACAGACACCTTTGAATAGGTGCAATAAAAGTTATTGTTTAGGCGCCTGCGATAGTCAGTCGAGTTTGCGTGAACACATGCTGCCTATCAGTACTTATAAGTATAGTTCAAAATACGAGTACGTAAACAAGACGCCGAACTAAAACCGAATAAAATCACAGAATGGTAATTATTTTTACACTCTTACTGTTACGAAGATCGATTATTTAGTAGACTGTGGACAAAATACGTATAATACTTAACACTTACGGTTCCGTGTGCTTCATAAATTTAATCGAACTAGCATACCACATAATAAAAGTTGCATTTCCCGTATTTCGGTTCTTTGGGTGCCATTTGTTTGCTACCTGGCTTACAATAAAAATTATTGAATGTATTTTCAAGTCAGTGCTTCAAAAGCAGGCAAAAGCTGAAATCAGTTTTCCAGGTTTAAAAAATGGCGCATCACAAAAGACACCAGATATTATTACAGTAAGAGTGCTCGAATTTCTATTTACCCAACACAAGTCTATCCAGTTGGTTCATTAGTTATTCGGCTTGCCATACGCTTAATATCGGCTCACCATAAGGCAGCGCTCAACCGCCTCGGGCGGCTATTCGCTACCGTCACAGCGAGCGGATGCGTATAACGCTGCCTACTGCTACCGCGGGCGGTTGCCAGTTGCCGATACAGCGGGCGGGTGCCTACTGCATGGCTGATCATACGTTGACTCTCCGCATAGTGTAATCACAGCTTTAATACAATTATTTTGTAATAAACGTTTCGAAAATAAATTGTTAGAAGGCACGGTCTGTACAGATACTCTGTACACGTATTATGATCGCTGTATAAATCAGTAAAAGTGTAACACATAATAAGGCAATAAAAAATTTGAAGGAGTTTTTTTTACTTTAAAGTACAAAAGCATTGTTTCTAATTTTTCAGGGTGTTAACACAGTTCAAATTTCCATCGTTTTATTAACTGCAGGGGCAAACTTACCAGTTGCGATATTCTTTCTGAAATTAAATTTTTCTCCCAGTGAAATTGTATTGGTTTTGCAAGCGGTAGAACTGAGATTTTGTAAGCACACATGTGACATGTAGCAAAGTATTATCGCGTGCATTATAAATATATTAATTATGACACTTATGCAGATTTGCTTATGCAGCAAACGCACGGTACCATTAAAAAAGTGATAGTAGATTGTAAACGTTAAAGTACGGCTGATGTCTGAAATGGTAACAAAGGCCAGATCAGTGGTATCCTGGATCAAACATTTTGTAGGTTATTCCACAATGGTGGTGAAAGCATTTCAATCAAAAATGCGTGTATATCCGGGACAAATAGGAACCTCGAGTGGTTCCTATTTGTCTTAACCATTGTGTCTACGGAACAAACGAAAAGGTACCTTTTGATAGGAAAGCACTGTTCAGGCCGCACATTGCTATCTACCAATTAAGAGCTAGGTAATTAACGTTAGCATAGATGTGCTGCGTGAACGCAAATTTGGGACCTAATGCAATTAGGCGGTTGTCCCCGTTTGAACTCAAATCCCGCTAAGCAATTAAGATAGATAGGTGTATGCGTGAATTCAGCCTATCTCTACCTATATAAGCTCTGCATTGTTGTACCATCTACACTGTACCAAGTCATCTACATGTCATTTACGTAGAGATCTCTAGTCATTTGTATGCATGCTAGCATTGTACCATCCGCGTACAGTCATCATGTACCATCAATAAAGATACAGCACGGTCAGTCTATCTCTTCTCTTATATTAATAAAACCCACTATTACACCGGACACGGCTACGACCAAAACGCGGTATCCACAAGGCCCTCGCTTTTGTGGCAAATCACAGTCATCGGGCAGTCGGAATGAAATAAGCCCTAAATCTGACCCCAAATGGACATGTTCCACCGGCTACCGGTAAACCGACATGACGACATCCCCAACAGGGTTGAGGGCGTAGACAAAACTCCATTAGACTCGTTACGCTGCAGACCGCGGTCCCTAAACACGTTCTGGTACCGGTCGGGCCCTCAATCAGGAAACGGCGGTAGACATCCATCGCAAACCGTAACCACGAACTCCCACATAAACCGACTGGATTCCTGGATTGGACCCAACCGGAACTGCTAGAAGTCTCCAGGACAAACCAGCCGAAACCCTGTGTTCTTCAGTCACCCAAACGTTTTGCTCCCAAATCTTAGAAGCGCCCGGAGCGGTTCCCAAAAGCTTGAACCTGGCCAGAAGGCAAAAGCCGGTCTCCACCTTCCATTTATCCAGAACGTAAGTCCCGGACATCGAAAATCTTGCATTCCGCTTCCTGGTTAGGCGGCCGGACGATTTAGAGAGTAGACATACGGATTTTTACGAGCGCAGACCGCCCTCCCTGGTTCCGTTACTGCAACCGAAGCCACCCAGATCGACCACCCCGGAACTGCCGGATCAACATTCCGCAGTCCGGCATCAACCGGTCCATGTGGCCCACAAATTGCAGACCACGAATGACGACGTCCTTTATCTGGGGAATTCTTTACGGGTAAATCTTCGAAACATCTGAACGGGCGTCGAAACCAGTATGATGCGTATTACGCCCATAACCAGACTCACTGGATGTCACAGACCGCTGCCATTTATCTGACGACACGACCAAATAATTCAAGGAAAGACCAGCTGCCAGTCGACTCACTCGCAGCAGGAAACCCAGCTGACCGGACTCAACCGGAGAAGCCCGGTTGAACCGGGATTAACCCGGACATTTCATTCTCCGGACCCAACTTATCCGACGGTAACACTGTCCCAGTAACTCAATAAATGCCGGGAGACAAAATGAACGGTTTCCGCCCGGATAGAACACCAGAAATTTAGCTAAGCAGACCGCTCAACGGCGTCTTGCTACCGGAGGAATTACAAGTAGAGTTACAGTTACTCAGTCAACTAACCTTGATAATTTAGCTAGCCGTACTTCACCGAAGCAACCAGGCCGAATAGCCCTCAGACCCGACTTGTCCACTACAAACCTGAGCTAGCTTTATAATTAAACGACCGGAAGGCAAACTCGTGAGTTTTACTCCGGACGAACCAATGAAAAGTAGATCCAGCAGACCGGTTTAAAGCGCTCGAAAGGATTATTCGGAGCTAACCAAATCGACCATCACGAAGTTACCCGAATCAACCCTTAGCAGCGTGAGAACCACCGGTACCTATTACCTACTTAGGCGACGTGACACGAATTGACAGTTTCTGTACGGGCGAAAATCCAGATTTTGAGCAAATCGGCCCGCAACGCTTAGTGACCGAGCTTACCTGGATAAACCCGGATGAACCTAACGAACTGATTTGTTTGTCAACCTATTGACCTGATCTATCTACTCCGCTATCCAATCAGGAAGATACGATTTGCTTGGATAGAAATCCCGGGAACACGAATGACTTCCTGACTCACTTCGCTTATCCACGTTCTGCTACTACAGCTTGGGCCTAACCCGGCCAAGCAACTCGAGAGTGGGACTTATCCTTCACGAACCCGATTCCGTTACCCAAGTAGCTGACTGAAGAAAGAATTTCCGGTTTTGCCCGGACGGAATCTCGAAAAATTGTACTTTACCGGGCCTACCTGGAAGGATCGACCACGAACCCAAATATCGCGTTCAGGATGAATTCCCTGCACCAACAACCGGAAAAACCCGGTAGGGTAACCCAATCAACCCGGCAATAACCGGTCCCTACGGGCTACGGCCAAAACTGACGGCGGGACGCGAATTGTCCGGATGCATCCACCGGACTGGGTATTGTTACCAGACTCATCGGTCAACTCAGGTAACCCAATAGGCCCTATTCCCCACCCAGAGAAAAGAAAGGCTGGGTATGGGAGCACGCCACAGTTTAGCCTTAAATTGTAAAGAGTTCGGGAATTGCTTAGTTGGACAGTCTTTGTTAAGTCCAAACATCGCCATGGTGCCGAATCACCCATATTTTAGTTGTTGCTGCCCGAATGATAATGTACCATTTCTCCTACTGCCTCCCACTCCCCAACAAAGCACTCAAATAAGCGACAACGTGCTAAACGAACGTAACCCATCCTGCGGCAAACTAGCTACGAGACATTTTAGCGCCCATACAGCGGCACAATATAAAAACGCTATGCAACGCGTACTGTGGCATAATAGCAGAAGGCTATTTGGCCCCCCATACTGGGGCAAAATAGCTGAAGGCTATTTAAACGCAGTGTGGGGCAAAATAGCAAAAGGCTATTTTGCCCCACATACTGGGGCAAAATAGCCAAAAGCTATTTTGCCACAAACACTGGGGTAAAATAGCCACTTCGTTGATTATTCCTATCCGAGCAAACCTCGTACGCCTGTTCCCTTGAGGACGCAAATCATTCTGGCTTCCCTGGAAGCAGATCACCTAACCGTCAGACAATCGATGACACGCAGGAAAGTCGATAAGCGACTTGTGTCGCCCACAGGCGGCGGTCTGAATGGATACTTGTCGAAACGCGTGCTCCATTTCACTTTTCATTTCTGTCTTGCTGAGTCAAAATTCTTTGCAAATTTTCATTTTCATATTTTTTTGATTGATTTGTATTGTCATTTTGTGTGAACAGTTCACAGATCATCTAGCTTTAATTTTCCTGTAGAGAAATTATGTACATTTAGCAAATTCAGCTTTTTGGGATTGTGGGCTATAGCCAAGCCCGTACTGTGCGCTGATCTCGATATGGCAGACGATTCTTCTGTATCAAATGGAACTGGGGCCTCAAGTATGCCACGGCGAGGCGCACTTGATGGGATCGCGGATCGGATGAAGTGCATGCTAGAAAGTGGAGACCTGTCCGATGTGCAGTTTATAGTAGGCCGAGAGTTCGGAACAACGAAGATCTTTCGAGCACACAAGTGAGAATACATTCTTGCAGTCGTTAATGACGCTCCATATTCCCTCATACTGTTAAGTGTTATGGAACTTTGGGTATTTTTTCCGTAAGAGAAAACATTGCAAGACTTAGCATTGCAGGTATGTGCTAAGTAGCAGCAGTGATGTGTTCTATACCATGTTTTACGGGAGCCTGCCCGAGAAGTGTGACACTGCCATCGATATTCCAGATGTTCCTGAAGATGCCTTCGAAATCATGCTCAAGTGCGTTGAGAATGAAATCTGTTTGTAATGATTTGCTAGTTGACACGGGCAGATTGGCTCCAGGCTCAAGCTGTCAGTTTTTAGGGCGCATTTTACAGGTACGTCTACACGGATAAGGTGGATGTAGATGAGGATAATGTTTACCCGACGATGGTGTGCGCTGACAAATACGACCTACCACGTTTGGGGGATCAATGCGTCCACTATGTCCTCACTGAGCTCAGAGCTGGCACCTGTCTGTACCATCTGGAAAGGGTGTGCATTACCAAACCACTTTCGTCGCCGAAGTGCTTAACGTAGAATTATAATTTTACCATGGTTTTTCTAGGCCCTTATGTGGGGTGCACCTACCGCACATATCGTAGAAAGTTGTCTGCACTTCGTGGATGTACACTGTGAAGAAATCTTGGAGTCGGAAGATTTTGCTGAAATCGAACACAGCACACTGGAAAGAATTGTAAAACGCAACACGCTTTTTGCGGAAGAAAATCTTATATACACAGCGGTGAATAGGTAAGCACTGTTCAAGAACGAAATTCCTTTCGCTGTATAGACTGCAACAGAACAGAATGAACAGATTACGTTAAGACGTTGAGTAGATACAGTACAATACGAATCAAAATGGATCATTGCAAACCTGATTTTAGAGAAAACGTTGGCGCAAGAATTTTCGCTACATGTTCGTCGACGTTTTTTTGCATTCCGACATAGGTAATCACAATATAGATTTATCCGAATGACGGTATTCTGCTGACTTCTCCAGCTAACAGTAACTTTCCAGTCAGCTTGTTCACCAGATTAATAAAAAACAATTAATGAATTTTAAATGTCGAATAATGCAGAAAATACCGTGTATGTGGTCACAACCTGGTGTCCGGTACATTAATCTGTGTTGTGGAAATGTCAGGGATGCTGTCCAAGTACCTAATTAGTTACGTTTGTTCGGCAGTGTTAAAAAGATGTGACGTTTTTACTTGACAGTTAATGTTTAATGCTTTTATGTCAGCTTGTTCACAAGATTATTAAAATATTAAATTTGCATTTATTAAAAAATTAAATCTGCAAATGTGGAATTTTTGCAGATGGGCTATGGAGACCTGCGACATTCGTAATTTGAAGTTTTCACGGACTAACCGGCGTCAGGTGTTAGGCCCGGTTCTTCACCAGATACGATTCCCGCTGATGACAGACAAGCAGCTAGCAGACGGTCCCGTTGGCGTGAGTCGAATTCAGACTGAGTGGTCGCGCTTAGCCTTGGGTTGAGATATGAAGCACAGACTATACATACTCTTCACTCTTGAGCGATTTTCTAAAATGAATAAAAACGAAATGAAATGGGATTCGAAACAGAAAACATGCCCATGGCTAATGCCGGTTTTGCCATATTTTCAAACACAGCGATGCAAAAATTTGCTTAATCAAATGATTAGTCGTTGTATATAGTTCCTGTAGTATGTCTGATGATGCAGCGTCATTGTTGTTACTATTACTATTATTCCACTACAGTAGCCGAAGTCCGTTAATGCAGGCTTTTTACCCTAAGGTGGACCTCAAAACCTTAGGATTTACCAGGCTTCTGGATAACTGTTTCGCTAACTTCAAAAATTTTATTCGTTTTTAGTTTAATTTTATGAGATAAAAGTTACCCATCTAGGAATTACCACCAGGCAATGGATAGATAACAAATATAACAAACTGATTTTAATGACAGATAATAACAGGTTTCTGTTTGTACACATAGAGTGGCTTGCTGACGTTGCCAGAGTTAAAAGACATCTACAGAGGGTTATTCAGCCAAGTGTGGTCAGCGCATTAAAAAAATTCCTATAATTCAGCCGTTGCGCAGAGTCAGATTCTAATAATTGTTTTATTATGGCAAATTAGTTTTGATGCTTTTTGCAAGTTTTGTGACAATCGGGTTTAAACAGCCCGCAATATTGGCTACTGACCTAAAGACTCCGACTCTAAACCTTTGACCAGGCAAAATTTGGCTTTCGATGATCTGGCTTTAAAAGGATCGTCTGCTTTTCAAATCTGGATGGTTTTAATTGTGAAAAACGACGATCCGAATATTTTTTATAGCAAAAACGATTCCATATTCTTGCGCGTTCTTGCGGTAGGACGGCTGGAAAAACGCGAAAACAGGAAGACACACTGCAAGAGCCATGCTCAATGTGCGAATTGTTACTCACGGAGCTATGGCTATCCTTTTCGTTCCTCCACAAACTAAAGTTGTAACGCAGGTCTTCCTTCACAATTTACAATGTTCATTGGTCGAAAAAGACGCTCCACGGATTAAGCCTGGCAGAGAGGAAGAAGTCATCCAGAACCAGAGATGTGCTCCCGGGAGCACTGCTGAGAAAACAAGGATGTTGCTTCCTGATCGAAAAAACTGGTAATTCCTTCTGAAAAAGGTTTGTTCGAAACCCATGACAGGTTTCCAGTCGATTATGGCGAAAACCCAAATTTTAAATTAATTTTGAGTAAAGGGAATCCATTTCCTATAGCTGAACTGGTCAACTGTTGCCAACATGGTGGGATAAACTGAATTTTTTCCTGGGCTACAGGATAACGAAATCTTGGCTCGGTTGAATTCAAAATGTGATTGAATGTTGTGGCTATTTGATAAAATTTTTAAAAAAAGTAAAATGAGCCTGCAGCGGCTAAGCAGAAATTTTCCAAAAAGTGACCACACTTGGCTGAATAACCCTCTGTACCTTCACAAGCACGCCACAGTGCAACACCCTGTGCCACCTGGGCTTTTCTCCGCGCAGCCACGACAGCCCCCGTTGATCCGTGTGGCTGACATGCAATTCAAGCATAAAGAGGAAATATTTGTGGAGGAGGCATTGCACTGGTACCCTGCTGAAGTATTAGGGATGCATGGATCAGCTGTTATCGGGTTGTCTCTCCACTCGGATAAGATCGTCAGGACCGAACCGGAGAGGCTTATTCGGGCATCGGACATCCTAACGAGTGGGCAATCAATCCTGTGGTCGGCGACGGGCTTATGGGGGCGTCGTAAAGAGGCAACGTACGTACAGCCGGATGTTGATCAATGGCATCATTGGCATGAGATCGGTTCGGCAGGCAAAGAACATACGGTGCTGCTCGGTGAAATAACGTTAAGCAATAGTCAAGTGGAAGCGTGGAAAAAGGCGAAAGCCGCCTGCAACGGGAGTGGAGGTTCTCAGCGGAAGCGTTCACTGGATGCGGCAAATCTTGTCTGAGTCGTGGATTTGATCGCTAGACTGTCGCGGTTACTCTACTAATACTTTACATTTATCCAGCGAATGATGGGCCTTACGAGGTCGCACAGATTGAGGATATTATTATTAAGGACGAAATAGTAAGAGCGTGGAAAAGAGCGCAGGTGGAGGGCGGCGAAAGGAACACACCGGGAGTTGTCACGCTAAAACGTTCTCTGGATGCGGCCGATCTGAACTAACTGACCGAGTCAATGATCTTTTACAGAAGTACGGTTTGCCTCGAAGATGGAATTGTTAGTCTGTAGTGACATTTCAGGAGACACTTCGCAATTCTTATATTAAATGTTACGGGAACCTTTCTGGACATATACTGAAGACATAAGTATTGAAGAGGCATTTTTGTTATAACCTGTTGTGTTTTTGTTTGATCAATAAAGTATGTAATTAACCAAGCATTCCGTCTCTGCGTATCTTATAATCAAAGGAGTTATGGTTTATAATACGCACAAAAGTATGACTTCGACAATTATGAACGCAAGTATTGCAAAATATGGAAATCTGTGGATTACCATACGCAGACCATTAAATACAGAAACAAGTGACCTTTGGAACGATAGGAAATAGTTTAATTAAGGGAGCCTCGTTAACCTTTAAGCACCCAGCGAATGATAACTGCAAATTTTACTTGAAGCGACAATGCTTGAGAATTCCACAGGTGCAGTGTGCATTATTGTAGGTATCGACGCATCGCTACATCGATATTCTCGTTTGCACCCGACTGCTATGCATAGGTTGCTGTTTAAATTACATCGCATTTACAATGGACAATAAGGCGACTTCTTCTTAATCTTCATTCGGAAAACCAAAAGCTTTTAAAATTGCTGAGATCTGCCATAACCTCTATCGTATCTCGTTGGTGACAGCGAAAGCCATAGGAATGTGCGACTGGAATCTGTTAAGTTGCTAGGCACTAACAGCAAGCAGTCGTTAATGAGCAATGGCAGATAAGTAGTACTTTTTGGCGCAGCTGATTGATGGGGAATTTCTTATTCGCAGATAGATCCGAACAGATGAACGAACGGCGCGGGCGATCAGGCAAACCTTCCAACTTGGGTCCGTTCTTTTGCAAACCAGCGCCGGCTAACCAGAATCGCTGCTTCACCGAAACATCTGACGCCTGATGCGGCGTGATGCACTGTTTCTTGTTCGACGATTTTCGCTCATACCCAGTGCGCAATTGGCTTTTAGTCTGGTGAATGTTCGCCTTCAGCGAAACGCACCGTGCTTACTGTCGCATACTCTAGCCGTCTTCAGGAGAAAGGTGGCCGGGTTGTGTTGCAAAACGGTTGCCTTAGAAAACTGGACATTAATCTGTATAAACATGTCGAAATCAGGCCGCTATTCCATTTCCGACTGAGTTCGCATACTTTAGGTGGTCCGGGTCGGACAGCTCTGGATTTCAGCTAAGTGAGGTGATCGTTGTCGACATGGGCGATCATTGTCGACGCCTATCAGGACCGGCGCTAACTGTTGTTGTTCTGGAAATGGCGGAAGCCAGCTAATTGAGGCTTAACAAGTCAACCGCGCTGCCGCTATTCGGACGCGCTCACACCTAATTCTGTTTCGCAAAGGGTTAATTAAGCCGGCATGAAGTAACGTATGAGATGCCAAAAAAACGGTTAGCAGCTGGTGCGATCTGGCATTCAGGAGGAGAAGACGCAATTCAGAAACATTTTTCGCCGCACCGATTAGGTGACCGCTTGCAGGGAATGTCCGTCGAAGCACTGCCAGATTTATTGCGCAAACGTGTCGATTTCATGACCTTTGGCTATCGTGCACAAAACCGATGTTGAAATCGCATAAACTCGTAGATATCCTGATGTGTGCCGGAAATCTCATCGGTAAACCAGACCCCGACGCACTATTTATTTCGTTTCACTGCCGCTTATTATAACTATCTTAACTTTTGTACCAAGATTGTAAATGAAGTAGCAGTCAAATTATGGCGATTAATTTTGAACAGTCTTATCCGATGGGATTGACAAAAAATCGTATGAACAGTAAAACCAGCAATACAATTTTCATAATCGAATGACACAATCAACACACAATTTTTATCCGCACAATTTTTACAATCCGTTTGAACAATTCAAGTGACATCTACATAACAGTGATAAACAATTAACACTGACGATAAGTGACTTATAGTGGAAAGCGCTTCCATGCGATGATAATCTCGAATTTTAAGGCATCACAATATAATATTTTTGCCAGGTCTTGCACCAAGGTTTAGTGTAATCTTTTAGTGTAATCTTTCCATCGAGATATGCGTTACAACTTTCAAGTCCACTCTAGGCACTTGTTTGATTCTGGTTTGCGTTGTTGTTTGAAAACAACTGTAGGAATCTTTCCACTGTGGCTTTCTTTTCTGAGCAGTCGCTAAAGGTGTAGCCGGGATCACAAACACACCGACCACAATCACAGTGCCCGTGTCCGTCACCTAAACAAGGGCGAGGTACAGAAATTATGTAGCAGCAATAATAAAACTGTTCACAACTTAGTACTACAAATCTTTTTGGCTTCGTCTTATGAAAATCACGAATAATTCCCCTGCATTATGCACAAGAAAAATAAAAGGCGTCAATGCAAGTACAAACAGAGTTGTGTAACTTATTATTATGGCTTGCATAAAAATTTGAATAAAGTGATATTAATTACAATAATAACCAGTTGACGGTGTTGTACTACACATAAAATGTTTAAATCGTATGATACTGTAATATTAACAACGAGGATGTAAGTTTTTAGCACAATAAATGAGAAAATACGATACTGTACGTGCTAATGGACTGCCACGGACTGTTGTATTACTGATGGTGCTATACCCGCAGCATGCGGTACTGTACTCACACACTTCCCCGTTGATAGCTGGACAGCTTACGTTGTCGCATTCGCAGTATTTGCCAGAAGTTTTGATGACAATACGTTTTTTGCTGAACATTCCACGAGTACCCTGTATTCATATATAGCGAAAAACCGATATAATTTACTTATTTAGCAATAGCGAAATAACAAATGATCGAAGGAATCAAATTAAAGCCAATATATTAACTGCAGCATACTCACTAATGGCTAGCTATACGCAACTAAATAATTATAAGTTATCTGTAGCGAATAATACGAGTAGAACACAATCGAACGCCGCGAAAATTACCATACTTTATATTACTGCTCAATATTTGCGAACTCACTTCCCACGTTCGGCATGATGTGCACTGTCCATCGACGCACGTGCCCCGACCACTACAGGGTTCTCGTTCATCTGTAAAAATTCACGAGTATAATTCGCTTTCACTTTTTCATTATGTTATGGCTTTTACGGTCTCGATGACTCAGAGATCTTTTTGTAGCTATGCTCGAGCGAAACGAATCGAAGGTCACCTTTGTTCACGAATATAGGATTTTTGTCACGTTGTTCACGTCCTAATAATTCTTCAGAATAAAATGGAAATAATTATAGAAATATAATTTCCGTAAAACGGATCTTAATCAACGTCACCTATTGAATAAATTTTTATGTAATTATTTAGTTATGGTAGTGCGTGATAATGATTCAGTACTATACTATAAGCAAAGCGGTGCACTTCCCTAGTAAAGATCTTGTTCCTTTGATAAAGTAAGTACTGTACTTTACACCCTACAACATTGTAGGGTGTAAAATACCGTACCTACTTACTATATTAATATACAACACAACACAGGCACAGAAGCCTACAGTAGTAGGAATAATTGGTAATAATTTAAACACACCGCTTACCGGTTTATATTCATGTTACATATTCGTACTTTATAAAAGGTAATGATAAAAAGGGCGAAACTTATTAGCACCAATATAAAATGCACTCGCATGGGTATGCCAAGATGAAATTACGGTGCACTTGAAGGTAATAATATTATGCAACATCACTTACAGAGTACAATAAGCTATATCTACACCAAAAGCGCATTTACCGTTCGAAATTTTTCTCGAGAATATTGTGCTTTTAAAAGCGATGTGCGAGTACATAATAAATATTTTTGTATAGATATAGAAGTGTACGTACTGATATAGAACTTGAAGTTTCGATTTGGGGGATTGGGCCTGGAATTAACCACAACAGAGAGTTACGGTCAGTACTCAATAGAAACTCATTGATACATAAAGTCATAACCACGTTAGCAAGGCGCTTCCTGACAAGAACGTTTCTTTGACGAAATGTTTAGAAATAATGCAATAAATGAACAAAGAACATTCCAGACGTAAGTTGCCATATTTTGCAACTCAGTGCACTCGGCTGTTAATAGCCATGCTTTAATACGGCTACCGACGTCGCTCATATTCGTACTACTATACCGTACACTCGTTGGGATAAAAGAGAATATCCCTTGTATTTACAAATGCACAACAAACGGTGTAATGACCCTGGTCGAACGTAACAAAAAATCACTTACTCAATGCAGGTGTTGTTTACAGGGTTGGCGAAAACACCGTGATGGTGACCACAGGAAACGAAGAGTATGACCGCGAAAGTACGCAGCATTTTGCAAATTACGGCGTAAACTTAGCTTAACAAAAAATGCACGAGTTCAGACTGATGTTTAAAGGTACTCACACCAAGTCTGCTATCTGTACTCAGCTGATCCGTGCTGTATATATGGACACACGTTCTTCCATGCCGGTGTACAAAGATCACAGAAATAATACATCTAGGGACGCGTCGATAAGGAACTGTAGATGTGAGTGCTTGGAAACAGATTAATTCTTCAGATTTCTTTGCAGGTACCTTGTGACTCATAGCCCAAACTCGAAAGTTACGAAGCCAAACACAACTAAATAAGAGTATAAACACATCTCCAAAGGAGATTGCTATCTTAGTTCGGTTCCTTTAAAATTGACAGCCAATCGTCTAATCAGGCAGGTGGTAGTGTTACTTTTTGGCTTGGCTCCGGGATGTTGTATAACTCGATGCGCTGATATTTTTCTGCATTATTTTTTCCAGAAAAATCGTTTGCCAAATGCAACACAATATTGTGAAGCACTTCGCTGCAGCAACCTCAATCGGTTTGCGGCTTCGGTATCAACTAGGACGGCTGCAGCTCCCGCATAACGCAAAAACTGCAAATTTAGTGTTATGCTGATTGTTAATTAATCACTACAATTACACAAGCGGCATAAAGCAGTACTGTAGAGATACAGAATAGAAACTTCTTCTTCTACACTAATCGAGAGCAGCTTCCTTGCAAATCAAAAGATTACTTCAGAACAAGCGTCGCACGGCCTTTTGCTGACCATGTGATTGCTTCACTGAACGATCGATTTTGGGACACTATTCAACGGGCACTAGTCAGTGGTTGAAAATACTACTGTACTAATCCACTAAATACTACTATTACTAAATCATTTGATCACGTCGTAGAAATATATGTATTGGTAGATTTACCGGAACAGGATCGTACATTTCGGGCTGAAATGGAGCGCTGGAATTGCCGCTGGCATAGGAATCCGGACAAATGGCGCAATTAACAGCCTCATAAGTCACACAATTACAGACTAATCCACCCTGATGATTAAGCTTTGGCGCTGCAGGATTGAAAATACAAAATCCTAGGGTAGAGTACTCCTACGCTAATTGTAAGCGCAAAAATCGTTTAAACAGGAATACATTCAGGATACAATATAAATATAAACGTTTAAGTAACACGGGTACTCTGTAGTCTGTACGTAAGCTTGCTCGACCAAATACAAAGATACTGCCGTAGAAACACCAGAAAATTCAAAGGGCAATAACAAGTACGTGTTCAAAACGTAAAGCAAATAACACAATCATACACCAATTTTCGCATGAAAACGGAAGGATACTAGATTTTATCCAAGTCTTCCTAGGGTATTCCTTATCTGAGCAAATATCCCGTACGCATGTCTCCTTGAAAGGAACATACGCACTCACCAACCCGGCTTTCGGTCACCGCCGCACCGGTGACGGACTGACGGATACAATAAAAGCTGACGATGGAGTTTTGTCGCCCACAGGTGGCGGTCTGAAAGAAAAAGTGTTGCATTTCCGTTGCATGTTTTGCTTTTATTACTTTCGCTACAGGGTACAGGCCTACAGTAGTGAGCCTCAATGAAAACAGTGGCTACCGTAAGCCCTGTCAGAGTTCTTTGCGAATTTTGCGATTGATTTTATTATGATTACTGAACAGTTTACAGTACATCAGACTATCAAAGCATTGATTTTCTTGTCGAGAAAAGTATCTGCAATTGGCAAATTCAACTTTTTTTGTGAGTGGGGGCTATTATCAAGCTCATAATGCGCGGGAAACTTGGCATGTCGGAAAATTCGTCTTCATCAAATGGGGCGCATAGTCCGCCACCGAGAGGCGCACTTGATGGGATCGCGGATCGGATGAAACGCATGCTGGAAAGTGGAGATCTGTCTGATGTACAATTTGAAGTAGGACGGGACTTCGGACCAACGAAGATCTTTCGAGTACACAAGTGAGAATAAAATCATGCATGGTTCCTCTGGCAGCTGTTCTAGTCCGTCATCCACATCACTGCTGTGGAAATTTGAATATATTTTCCGTATGCGCAAGAAGCTGCATGTGTTAATATTGCAGGTATGTGCTAAGCAGCAGCAGCGATGTGTTCTACACTATGTTTTACGGGAGTCTACCCGAGAAGTGTGACACGACCATCGATATTCCTGATGTTCCTGAAGACGCTTTCGAGATCATGCTCAAGTGCGTTGAGGTTTCGCTCTAGCTGAAATGGTTTGCTAATTCGCAGACGAGTGTTCTATGCCTAGTGCCTCCTGCTAATATCTATGCTTTTGAAGGTATATCTATACGGACAAGGTGGATTTACTGGATGAAGATAATGTTTATCCTACGATGGTGTGCGCTGACAAGTACGACCTACCACGCTTGGCGGATCACTGTTTCGACTACATCCTCGCTGATCTCAGGGCAGAAAATTGTCTGCATCATCTGGAAAAGGTATGACCTTACCAAACCAGTTGCATCGCTTAGCCGTAATGCTTCGCTGAAGTTATTGCTGTCGTTATTCTAGGCTCTTTCGTGGGGCACACCTACCGCACATATCGTGGAGAATTGTCTACATTTTGTGGATGTGTACTGTCAAGAGGTCTTGGGATCTGAAGACTTTGCTGAAATTAAACACAGCACATTGCGAAGAATTGTGGAGCGCGACACGTTTTTCGCAGAGGAAGACGTCATCTACACGGCGGTGAACAAGTAAGCAGGAAGCCGATCAAACCATGATTGAAATGTTTATAATCTTATTGTTAATTAAATTACAGTTGGGCGTTGGCGGCCTGCGCCCGCAGTAAGCTGGAGGCATCACCGGCCAATCGGCGGAAGGTGCTGGGACAAGTTCTTCACCTGATACGATTCCCGCTGATGACGGACAAGCAACTGGCAGACGGTCCCGCTGGCGTAAGTTAAACTCGAGACTTCAGATTGAAACACGTTTGAGTTTGAAACACCTTTTGGCCGTTTTTTGAAACGATTTAAACTGAAATAAAATGGCATCTGAACCTAAAAAACGCTGTAACAAATACTTGGTTCTAAAAAACGCTCGGCGGTGCGGACGACCACCACGGCAGCAGCCAGAACAGCCAGAACAGTGTAAGTTATAACACAATTAATAGTTAAATACTGCCAGCAGTGAGTTGCTTTTTGTTGTCGTTAGTATATATGATTTGACGATGCAACTTGAGCAGGTAAAAGATTTCCGTTTGATACAGAGCGGTTTGCTGAAATCAGCAACGTTAATGGAGATTTATCTTCACAAGCACGCCACGGAGCAACGTCCTGTGCCGTCTGGTTTATTCCCCACGCAACCGCGGCAATTCCCGTTGATCCTTGTAGGCAGCATGGAGTTAAAGCACAAGGAGGAGATATTCGTGGAGGACGGACTGCACTGGTATCCTGCTCAATTATTAGGAACACGTGGATCAGCCGTCGTCGGGCTGTCGCTGCACTTTACTGACAAGATTGTCAAGGCCGAAGCGGACCAGTTTATTCGGGCCTCGGACATCCTGACCGCTGGGCAACCGATCATTTGGTGGAATACATCCTTGGGACCTTGGGGGCGTTGTAAACCCGGAACGTACATAAAGCCGGACGTTGACCAGCGGCATGCTATCGATGCGTCTGACTATGAACTAAAACTGCGGCTCCGTGATATAACTGTAAGCGGTATTCAAGTGAGAACGTGGAAAAAGGCGAGAGCTGACATCAACGGGGGGAACGCACAGGGAGGCCCTCAGAGGAAGCGTACACTGGATGCTGCTAATCTTGTCTGATGTTGTGTCGGTTTTTTCAAATTTGCTCTCAGAATGGTGGATCTGTCTTAATGTTGTTCTGTGGTTCTGTTACTTTTGCAGCGACTAGACGTTGAAGTCCCGTTAACCGGGTTGTCTGCTCTTGATGTAATAATAATATGCGAATTTTATCGTTCCATTCCCGCGGTTACAAATGCGCAATAAGTGTTTACTTTGTCGTTTTTGCAGAAAAGTAAAAAGATGACATGTGAATTCGAATTGCATTTACATATGTAATCATTTCCGATAAAGGCGCAGTATACCATGAATCATGATCATTCCCTCTTATTTAGATTAGCCGCTGCTGTGCGGAATGCGATTTTCATTAGGTGTCGCTGTTCAATTAGCCGCGCGCCTGAAGGGCTGATAATGGATTGTTTGGTGTGCACACTGCACATTGCAAAGTCATATGAATAAAAGCTACATATTTGTTAGTTCCAACGCCATCCATTACCGACGAAAAACACTCGATGTAGGCAATTGTCCGTTGGGTTGTTGCCGTACTGTTTAGCTTAGTGTCATTGTAAGGGGTTTTTTTTCAAATTCTGATTCTGTTTTATAGCGATCATGATGGGAATTGCTTTGTCATTGTATGCCAGAAGAATTCAAGAAACGCGCGTACTAATACTGTATATTATAACGTAGACTATAACGCTACGTACTGGATTGCCTTTCCGGCGGCCCAGTCGCCTAACTTGACCTAACTGTAATCAAGTTATGATGGTGTAGGAATAAAGGGAAAATACAGGAACGCAAGAACAACAGGTTTTGGCAGAAGTTTAATGTCGATCGATCGGTCGTTCGTTCGTAAGAAGTCGTAAGAATTAATTTTCGTATACAGTAACAGACTGCCATGTTATAGGCGAAGAAACAATGAGTGTTTTAGGAAGGCTAAATGAAATGGGAGAGGTTTTTTTGATTTAAGATTACACTCACAAAGTTTACACTTTACACTCACACAGATTACTCATACAACACTTGTACATCATTAGTCACATACGCTATAATATCTATATATCCGAATGCTGCTCGTTGCATGTTAGTAACTTGGTATGTGCGGACCGGAAGTTGAGCCGATCTGGTTAGTCCACATCTTTTCCTAAAAAAATTGTGATTGCACATTAAAGTACAAGACAGTTGCGCAGAAAGATGTCAGGCCGAATTTCGTGACCTTTGGCGATGATGTGCAAAACTGATGCTATGATCGCTTGCAGTTAACTTTGAGTGTGTGTCAACTTGAGCTATGTGGATAATATTGCATACTTACTGTAGGGTGTAGAGCGTCAAAAAATTTTGTCTTCACCAAATAGCCGGATGTACCGATGATGAATAGAAAATTCTATTTTCTGACTGGTGTACAAGCGAAATAAAACCTGGGGCGAACTTTTCGTGCACATGAAGGAAGACAGTGCCGTCCTTTAACCGTGCCCATCTAGCGTCTGTCCTTTTCTTCCATGCTTCCGTCCACGAGAGTACGACTGCTGACTGATTAGTAGTACATCCCTATTACATTATTTCATTAATTTAAAACTTATGTACAGTACAGATATCGTTGGCACAACTTTGTCAGCACTTTTAACAGAAGTGCGCTACCGCTCAGCCAGCGTCTAGTTTGGTACGTCATTAATTTCCAAGTTAGGGAATTCGTGAGGAAGAAAATTCGATGGTGTATTTATTTCGATCGGTGACGTCGTGGTTTCATAAGCTAAATGTACACGTGAATTTTCGCATTATCGGTTTCCAGAATTTTCTCAAAAAGTTTCACACTGAATGTTACAAGAGAAACGTTTTCCTACACCACCGTATTCCAGAGCAAATGCTTCAAGGCATTTGCAATCAAGCTCCAAAATATTCAACAAACGAAAAATTGTTTACAACGGCTACTCATTCACACTTGTACCCGGCGCGATACTGTTCGCTGAAGACTACACCTGTAACTGAATAGAGGTTAGCTGAGACCAGGCGGAAGTTAATGCGAGAATGCATCGACGCGAGAGTTTCCTTGCAGCGCTAAAAGAAAAACCCGGTAATAGCATCGCGTATGCGACGGTAGATGGCACTGGAAAGCTGGTAAAACGGTGCATAAATATGTTACGTGATTTAGGCAGAGAAAGGTTACATGGCATGACTAAACCGGCCGGTCGAGTATGCTACTTATGTATAGTACGGAAATGTGTGCGTTGATGTTAACGAATGGAACGGCAAAGTGAGGAGGCGAAGTGTAGGTCGGATTGCAATCCGACCAACAATAAAAAAATTGAATGTGCGTAAGAAATAAAAGTGTCTCAGCCTTTGTCTTGTGGTTGGTACAATTCAAGACCGTCAATACATGTAGTTCACAATTTAACGAAAACAATCAAACAAAGTGCTACATAACTGACAACAAGGTAACATTTTGGCGCCGCAAAAAGGGCAAGCCGACCTGCACATCACAAAGGGGGGCCATAATCAGCAGTAAAGAACAGAAGTATATGTAGGTAAACCAGCATAGGCTAATATTTCATTAATTGAGCGGGCATATCGCCGAGACGAAGCAGTAGCTATATTACGATAAAAGCGAATCAGCACAGTAAATCTACAGCCCTGCTCAGCCAAGATGGGGCTGTTTCTTCAAAAAATTAGCACAGGTCAGCCGTCATAAAATACTTCCTTGTTAATTTTTTCTTAGTTGCCGTGTGTATTCGACATGTTTTTCATTTGGAAGTTCTACGCTGAGACCGCTTTCCGAGTAATAGTGAGGTCAAAATTAGGGTAGACCAGTGGAAAAAAGCTGCTCGACCCACTCAGCGTGGTAGCAGTGGTACTGTTTGAAATTTGTTTACAAATTCCAGTAACGTTGTTGCCCAAAAGCAATAGCTCTGAGCTGTTGGTCATTCAATGCTCTTGCGAAAGATACCATACATCAGCATATTTTTTGGCCAAGCCTGGGTGACCTTTGCAGAGTGACTGCAAGCACCTTTTAATCGGACCTCCCTCGCACGCTTCCGGTGCAGCCACGGGATGCGACGGGTAATTATTTTCGGCGAAATCGTATTTGCGAAGCCTTGAGCGTCAATAAAAAGTCCTCCACACATACAATATGCCTGAAACACTCCACTTCGAGTCACTGTAAGAGCAAGTATACGTAATTTTTCCAACCGCTTTGCTAATTTTTTATTCTGTTCACCCGGCCACTGGATTTCTCTGCCTGGATAGTTTATGTCTGTTCAATTGTCAAAATCGTTTCAAGTGGTCCATGTTTTATTCATAGAAAATATCAACTTGAAATTATTTTGGTCTGTGCGCTACCGCTAGGCAACCGCATTCTTCATCAGGTAGGTCTTAACACGCAAGCTTATGGGAAGTGCACATTGTTTCGCGATCAACCCGAGTACTGATAGCGCTAGATTTTTTTGCTGACGGCCCATAACGGACAGGCTTCGGTTTGCTTAAGAGTTTCCAGAAAAGCCCACGTAAAAATATCCGTTGGTATATCCTTCAGAGGGGCCGGTATGAGCATTCTAAAACATGACCGCTATCCCACCCCCTTAACCATTGCTCGGCTCCCTACTGCCACACCAAGGGGTACCGGTTTTAAAACTTTGAATTTCGCAGTAAAAAGTTACACCAGATTCAAAAACGAAACAGTGTATACAATTATTTTATAATTGTTTAACGAAAGTGCCCCAACTTGGCTGAGCAGGGCTGTATATGTTTATGTCTACGTGTCAAATTCAGTTAAAAAGAAACCAGCATCCTTTCTGAAATCGATGTTTTAGTTCTACACGCCGAGAGAAGTCTCACGTTTCCACAATTAAAGTGCGCTAACGCGGGACCGCCGTTACGGAGGCGATTGCACGCAAGACGATTTTGATGTGGCACAAGTGGCGGTCCGAACTCCGAACGCAAGCTCTGCCTACAGCAAGTACCACGGCTCAAAAACTATGCTACTTTTTTGTTTTGAAGTTTTGCTTTACACTTTTGCTATTCCTGCAGTTTATATAGCATCCAAACGTAATATTATCTGCCAGGGATTACTATCAGTAAAATTTTGTGAGGGTTCTATCGGATCCAAACTGTGCCTGCCTGCCAATGCGTTGGAGTTATGTCTAGAAAATCGTCTTCATCCACTGTAGTCTCCAGTCACCAACGGCGAGATGCAGCTGATGGGCTCGCGCAGCGGATGAAACGCATGTTAGAGAGTGAAGATCTGTGGGATGTGAAATTCGAAGTAGGTCGACATTTCGGAAAAGCGAAAGTCTTTCGAGCACACAAGTGAGTACTAGTACTAAGTTGACTACTGACTGCGAATTGTAATAGCTTATAGCGCCAACAACCCTTCTGGAGCTTATATTTTTCGTAACACGAAGCTTCCAAGTGATTTGTGGATGTTGCAGGTACATGTTAAGCAGCTGCAGCGAAAGGTTTTACACCACGTTTTACGGGAGTTCACCCGCGAAGTCAAAGTGCGCTGCTGCTATCGATATTCCTGATGTCGTACCCGCAGCCTTTGCGAGGATGCTCGAGTGCGTTGACCCCTACAATATCTGTAAGTCCTGCTCACATTACAAATGTTGCTCTGTTTTTAATTACAGTTTTTTGTCACCATTGGTTTTGAATTAAACGTAGTTATTGCACGACAGATACATCTACACCGACGCTGTGGATGTGACTGTCAATGACGTTTTCCCCACGATGCAGTGCGCCGACAAGTACGACTTGCCCCGCCTGGCCGATCGTTGCTACGACTTTATCCTGAAAGATCTGCGCATCAACAACTGTTTGCTGCACGTGGAAAATGTCCGCCTATCCATTACAAACTCAGCGCTGCGCTGGTTTAATCAGTTTATTTCTCGTAGGCACTGGATTGGTCTGTTGATAGTGACCCCGACAATAGTATTGTGGAGAACTGTTTGCACTTTGTGGATTTAAACAGTCAGGAGGTCTTTGATACAGAGTCCGAGCGCTTCGATCAGCTGAAACACCGAACAGTGCGAAGGATTCTAGAACGGGCGACGCTGCAGGCTGATGATACTCTCATCTATGCGGCTGTTGCATGATAAGTAAGCAACTATCAAGTTTGTCTGCACGGATGAACATAAAGAACTGTAAATGGCGGCGGTATGGGATACATTCAGTTTGCATGTACGACAAATTCGTGGTCTACCTTGTTTAGCTTTTCTATCTGTCTGTTACGTTCGTTTATTTAAAATAATCGTTCTACTATTGCGAAGGAACTTTTACTCACCTTTAGGAATCTGAATATGTACTTCGGCGTTTTGCGCTTCCGGACGCTTTCACAATACGGATTCGCGTATCCGACACTACTCTAGGGGCACACTATTCTCTGCGTTGTCCCACATTCGATAACTTCACTTAATTTTTTCATTAAACTCATGTACTAGCTAGTTTGTATGAAAACACTAAAGTAATTTTTATCGATTCAGTTTTCGTCCAGTTTATCTCATGCGGAATAACGCGGAGAATAACGTGGCTCTGGTGTCTGGTACGCGAATCCATACCGTGAAAATGTTCGGAATGCGAAAACGTTGATGTACGTGAGGCCCTTATTCGTAATCATTACCGTCTTATCTGCAGGTGGGCGATGGCCGCCTGCGCCCGGAATAATCTGGATCCGTCGGCGGCCAACCGGCGGAAGGTGCTGGGCGATGTTCTGTACCTGATCCGCTTCCCGCTGATGACGGACAAGCAGCTGGCCGATGGTCCCGCCGGCGTAAGTCAGCGTTAATTTGTTGCAAGCCTTGAAATTTTTAGTTAAAAAAGTTTCGTTTTAATTTGACTGAGATTTTCACTCATTTGTGGATTCCGGATGGTATCAGGCTGCTCCGGCTGCTTGGTGAGTTACATACAAAATTTTTCATGCGGTGTTTGTGCAGAGCGGTCTGCTGTCGCCTTCGGAATTGTTAGAAATCCACCTTTACAAGCACGCCACAACGAAGCGGCCCGTGCAGTTTGCCACGCAACCCCGACAACCTCCGTTGATCCATGTCGGGGATACGACATTCGAGGACAGCGAAGAAGTCTTCCTGGAGGACTTAGTAAGACATATTTAAGGCTTAAGGGAATTAAGTATTTTTCGACGCTTCAAGCGTGCTCCGACCAAAAAACTGGCCAGGTTTCATTCATGGTTTCAAGGCAGTTTAATACGACATTTGTGCAGCGGGTTTAAATGGGAAAGGCTATTATAAATTAGTCAATGCCCATTTTAGGACCGACTGTATTGGTATCCGGCGGAAGTGATTGGGGCACGCGGAACAGTCGTCATCGCTATGCTATTGCAGTTGCAGCAGATCGTCAAAGTAGCAACGGACAGGTGTGTTCGGGCTTCGGACATCCTGAGTAGTTGTCCAGAGATCCTGGTTGTCGATAGATTTGGTTGCCGTCAGGAGGCAGCGTACATGGAGCGGCAAGGTGACTTCCATATGGTTTATAACAATAGCTATGAGGACCACGATACGACATCGTTTGAGAACATTATTATTCCATGCGACAAAGTGGAAGTGTGGAAAAGAGCGCAGGGGGCAAACAGCGGGAGAAGCACACAAGATGTTGCCTCACGGAAACGTTCGCTGGAATCGGCTAATCGTGCCTGACCTAGGGACTGCTGTTACTTTATTCGTGAATGTCTGTTATGAAGTAATATTACATTCGTGTTAATATTCAAGTGGTTTTAGTTTTCTGTACGACTAAGGAATAAAAACCATCGAATACCTCCTGAAACTATTGCATACTAGCTGCATCCGTTAGATGATGACCGTTCCACATTTTTGACCGGAAACAGACCGTGCCTCATGAGTTTACGTCCGTTCCGTTTTGTGCTAGATTATGTTCTCGAATGAACTTATCACCGAACAATATCAACTTGAAGAAAACAATGAAATTGCGTTAATACGGATAAGTCTCGAGTGCCTTCCACAATTTCCACTCGGGCGATGGTGCATGTGCTAGATTGAGAACTTATTCCCCGTTTTAGTGACGCCTGACGCGATCTTTTTTTTCCACTTTTTAACACTAATATTAGCCAAAGAGCTAAACCTACTACAAGATTTATATGAAATCAAAAATCGTATGTAGTCCAATTTAACCGAATAGAAAGTCCAAATCCAAGGAATTCTCAGAACTGGTACTTCTACAGTTCTAATTAATGCGACGGGCGCCGGCGCACTGATAAACGCGAAAGCCGCGCGGACCGCCAACGGGCGATGGCGTGGCCTAATGGCAGTGGGTTCTCGTGCAGATGTTGCACAGATGCACGACACAAAAAGCAGCGAACTGTAAAAAACCAAATGCTATTAACTAAGTACAGTACTAGTACTTCCTAACTGTTTTGCTGAAGTTTTATCTGTCTTGTGAAGTTTCATAAGTTTGATCTCTTCGTAATCTGAACAGATTATTCAAAATTAGATGATTGAAATTCTGGCTCGCCTGATCTCATATGAACATCTGGTTCAACACGGTGCGTTTAACTTCTTTGGATTGCATGTACCTGCGCAAGCCTCCGCTTGAGCGTCGTTAGAAAGTTGGATTGTAAACCCTACCCGATCGAAGTGCGAACGGAGCCATGTCTCAGAGTTCCACGCAGTCCTCTAATTCAGGCGACAGAGACGGAGTCGCGAACCTTGCTGATTGTGTGAAGCCCCTGCTGCTGTCTGCAGAACTGAGTGATGTTCAGTTTTCGGTCGGGCGTGATTATGGCACGGCGCAGATCTTTCCAGCTCACAGGTGAATGTGCTGGTGCGTCTATCACACCAGTGCGTAATCCGTTTGTATTTTCTCCAGGCTTATCATGAGCATCCGCAGTGATGTATTTTGTACCATGTTCTATGGAAGTATACCAGAGAACTGCACTGCTCCAATTGACCTTCCCGATATTCATCCCGAGGCCTTCACTAATATGCTCTGGTATGTTGCTCTATTTTTTGCTGTGGATACTAGATACTTGATTACATAAACAGAAAACTGATGGAATAGAATAAATGTGTACTGTGTAGTTTCATGTACACCGATGCCGTGCCGCATCTCAGCGCGGATAATGTCTTTGCAACGATAGCGAGCGCTGACAAGTACAACTTACCATTGCTGGTCGCCAACTGCATCCGTTTCGTCTTGGAAAATCTCAGCATTAATAACTGCCTGGATATTCTCGACAAGGTTGCGTTACTCTCCTGGTTCAGCGTGCTGTGGTTCATTCAAACATAATATTTTGGTCTTCTGTGCTTAAGGCTCGTCACTATACACTGACAGCACCGAGCATCCAGGAAGAGTGTCTGCGCCTGATTGACGAATCTGCGGAAACTGTCTGGCAATCGGATGAGTTCTCAGCCATCGGGCAAGAGACGCTGCAAATCATTCTTGGACGGGGATCACTGACGGCAGATGAAGCTGTTATCTGCTCCGCGGTTGACAAGTAATATCATAATATTATTATGGTATATTATAATATTACTTACATGTTGTGGTATATTATGTATATAATATATACATAACATAATATACCACAACATGTAAGTAATTCGTTATCTGATATTATCAGATAACGAATAACCCAAGGGTTAAAATTTGGGAAAAACGCGATAATTTTTTTCCGCAACCGGTTTCTCATTGTGCGGATTTTCTTGGCAGGTGGGCGACGAAGATGTGCAGTGACCATAATGTTGACGGATCTCCCGTTAATCGGCGTGAAATGCTAGGTCCAGCACTGCATCTTGTGCGATTCCCGCTTTTGACGTGTGCTCAGCTTCTGGAAGGACCCGTTAAGGTACGAAATGCCAATCCAGTAAAACGTGCTTCTCGAGTCAGTTCAACTCTTCACGATTACACTGGTTATATGTCGTATAACCGGCGTTTAAATATTATACGAATAAAAGTCTAAGAAAAGTATTATTTTTTTCAGACTGGTTTGTTGCTGCAGTCAGAGCTTTTGGACATTATTCACTATAAACATGGTCCAGGCAAGCCGCAGCTGCCATTCCTTACGGAAGCGCGACAAAGTATTTCTGTTAGCTAATAATTACTGTGTCAGTTTTTTTTGGATGCTGTTTGCGGCGTTTGTAGATGGGCGCGCTGAGGGTGTTATTAATTACACCGTTCCGGATGTCAGAAAGCTCACTGAGGCGACTCCTCTCCTGAGCGATCCCATAGCCGTAAGGAAACTGCCTTGGTGAGGCGGAGCCAGCGTGGCCCGTAGTCAACTTTGTCATCGTGCTTGATCGTCGCTACACTTTTACATCACGTTCTATCTGTACTTCTATAGGAGGATCATGGTTATGCAGTGGTCACAATTCGGACCTTCTTGGATGTCGTATTTTTTGAAGTGCGGCGCTAATCCGAAATCGACATGCGCAGTTAATGGAGAACTACGCTTGCTGCCATGGAAAGCGGAAATTTCCCCTTTTAAGAGAAGTAGGTTTCGTTGTGTACGGTTAAAGAACATAACAAAAAGGCATTATTTACGAGGATTTGCACCCTGCGCAACGTTTTGATATAACCAGTAACTGTATGCTCCCTTAGCAATATCTACGACATTTCCGAACAACGAAAATGACTGGGGTTTCAGGAATTATATCCTTATGGAGGTGAGTCATAAGTGCTGCTTTAAATGTGGAATATATTGCTTGTACTTGTGATGCTAGTGCGCATTTGTGTTTAAGGACTTGCTGGATCCAGCGAAAGGTTATGTCAATCCTAATACTTTCTCTGTGAAACTACAACTGCAGCTCAGCGCTGACCTGCCTGTGGAAATTGAATAGATGCTGTATGGGTTCGTATAATTTACGGAGAATTTTGCGAAGGGTGTAGTGTCTGTAACACAACCTTTTCAAATGTTTAGATTTGCTGACACTTCTTTAGTTGAAGCTTCCCGTTATTTCGTCTTTCTTTTGTAAATGAATACCAGTTTGTTCCAGTAGTGTGTCTGCTGTGTCACTCTTTTCATGTAACATTAAATTCTATATGACGCTTTCGGATTTTTGCGTCGGTAAGGGTGCATCCCAGTTTATTCCAGTGTAAAAACAATTTTGCGATTGAGTGGTTCTGTACAAATTTAAAATAAAAACACTTGAACGAAGGTTTATAGTCTAGTTATAAGCTAGCTAATCGACTCCGCGGTTAGCGGTCGACTTACCGTGGCGGTTCACCATGGACGGATGCTGAAAATTGCATTATCCCTTGTCTAGCGGCTGGGTATCCTTTAGTGTGAAATGGCGTTCATTTGGAGATGATGCAATTGAAGAATACCTTCCTCCGCTGCGATCAGGTGACAGCATGGAAGGAATGTGGCAAACTTTGCACATAGGGCTAAAACTCCACAAGCATCGGGTAGTACAGAGTGGAGTTAAGTACTATAATGATTAGCTGTACAATGTATATTCTACCCACTGGGGATGTCACTGTTGCCGATACCTTCGCCCAAACCTACATAGGGCATACGTCAAGTGTTCCAGGAAGTGCAGCGGAAGTAAGAGAAAATCAAAAGCTACGGAAGTACGATGGACTCGCGGATCGCTACGTAGTACAACCTCTGGCTTTTGAAACTACGAACTTTTGGACCGCTAACAAAGAAATTTTTCAAGGAGTTATCGAGGAAGATTTGCGAATGTAGCGGTAACCCACGGTCGGGGGAGTTTTTGTGCCAGAGATTCAGTATTGAGATACAACGAGGAAGTGCAGTGTCTGTCCTCGGTACTTTTAATGATATGAGAGACAACGAGGATGTTTTTTTAGCATTTAGATTGGCTGGTCGGGAATAATCAGTGCCCGATGTTGTTTCTCTTGGCAGCTTTGCTGTGATTTTGTTAATACCTATATGCAGGAGTGCGTACTTAAATTAAGAGGATAATTATTCTACCCTGCTACGGAGCAGACTGCTACGGAGCTACGGAGCAGACTTAGCAGAGTAAGCAAACAGTAGCAATAGGGAAGAGCGAATTAATTGAGACTGCAACCACGGCGACCATTGTATATATTTTCAACAGCAGTAGAGCATGCGACTAACATACTAATGCATGCAGTTTGTATTACCAATTATACGAGTACTGTAGAGTAACCCTGCACTTGACAGCTTTTTTTACAGCTCTAGAGAGACGTACGCTGTACGACCACTTTCACCATTCACATGTGCTGCCTGAGACTAGGCAGGCAGCACATGTGAGTGCAGTCAGATCGGCCTGAGCCAGCTGAACGTTTGTCAGTACTACAGTGCCGTACAGCTCACATCGTACGAAAAAGCTGTCAAGTGCAGGGTTACTCTACAGTAATATTTAAATAATAAAGATATCAACTTTCAAGGTTTGCTCATGCGGTATGCTTGGAAACAAGGCAACTGTACCAACTTTACTGCTAAGTGAATTATGGTATCCCACCAGAAAAGACTAGCCGCACCATTGAGGATGAGTGAACGTTTCGGCGAACCGTGACCGACCAAGTCGTCGCAGAAAATCTCGTCGCGGGACACTTCGTCGGCCTCATTTGGGCGCATGGACATTTAGCTTCTGGACAAATCGTTGCTAAGTCAACTTGGTCGGGGGACATTTAGCCGCGAGACATCCGGTAACACGGACACATCGCGGTCAGACAGTTCGTCGGCAGGACGGTTGGATAGCCAGTTAATTTTAAAGAAAAACTCTTTTTTCAGTTGAAAAACGCCGTCGTTTGACTTCAGAATAATTTGATTAAGACCGGTGTATAAGACTAAACATTTCCGTGTAATTTTTAATTTTTAAACCGTTGTACTACCGTTTTCAATGAATCATACACAGACTCGGTTGCTAATTTGTACAGTACATACCCAGTACCTTTTTTATAGGAAATGGCTATTCTCACCACCACTTCTTACCGTACGTATAATTACAACGCAACATGTTAATGTTTAATTGGTTTCCTTCGTGTTTAACAACAGTGATTACATTCTGCGGTTACAAACTTACACGTTCCAAAAACAACCAAAATCACTCCCTTCCTCAATTTTACTTCTGCCCGGCAAAGTCCCTAAAACTGCGGCAGCGTTTCCCTTCATTATTTTAATTTATCGCAAGACCAATGCGCTGTTTTAAGAAGGCGGTAGATCGGCTTTCTCCTGTCTTTCCGCGAATCAGGCGTCCAACGAAGCTGACCATGTCAACGCAACATGGTCACCGCAATGCTTAGTGCTACTGCTTACCACCTACAGGAGACAGCACGAGTATAGAAGGACTTACAGCTGACAAGAACTGTCAAAGTTTGTGCGATGATGATGATCAGCCTAGATCAGGGCTCGTGAGTTGTTTTGATAATTAGCGTTTGTAAGTATTTTCCAGTTTCAAGAAACGTCGTTTAAATCTACGAAATTCTTGCTGGAAAGATAAAAGAACTTCATAATTTTTTTGCAACAGGCAGTTTTGTGGACAGGCACTCTCCAGATTCCCGCCAGCCGCGAATACGTGCATTCTGTAATCATGTCTCAGAGTTCGACACTCTCCTCCATCTCATGGTCAGATCGTCGCGGAGGAGTCGAGAAGATCGCTGACTGCATGAAGGAAATGTTAGCCCGTGGAGAATCGAGCGATGTACAGTTCGCGATAGGACGCAGCTATGGCGGAGCGCAGGTCTTTCCAGCTCACAAGTGAGTGCTCGATACTGGCTTGTGCCATATCGTTCTGTAACTGATGGAAAATTGGAAATCTATCTTTATGCAGACTGATCATGAGTGCCCGAAGCAATGTCTTCCACCAGATGTTCTATGGAGCTCTGCCAGAGAAGTGCACGGCTCCCATCGACATTCCGGACATTCTCCCCGAAGCGTTCGCTAACATGCTCAGGTATGTGAAACTGTGCATCCTTCTGATACAGCATCTGCTGATAAAACTCTTCACATTGCGTACATGGCCAGTCTGCAGTTATATCTACACTGATGCCGTGAAAAGCCTCAACGAAGATAACGTTTTTTGAGACGTTGAACTGCGCTGATAAGTACGATCTGCCATCGCTGGTGGATACGTGCTCGTGTTTCATTCTAAGCCAACTCAAAACGGCGAACTGCCTGCAAGTTCTGGAGAAGGTTGGTTCTTGTTGCTCTCATACGTTCGGCTGTGCGTGCTGCCACAATCTCCGCTTCCTCCCCTGTATTTCTTCGCATCTTGTTTGTTGTAGGCGGCTCGACAAACATGTGCAGCGCCTCACATTAAGGAAGAGTGTTTGCGTCTGATCGACGTATCTGCGGGAACGATCTTGCAGTCGGAACAGTTCTGTTCCATCGGACAAGAAGCGCTGCGAAGTATTCTTGAGCGGGATACCTTTGACGTAGACGAAACTGCCATCTACTCATCGCTTGAAAGGTACTGGAATTTCAGAGCAGCTAATTGCTTTTGCTGGCGGTTTGGGCGGGGGGGGGAGGGGGGACGGTTCATTGTACTGTCCCTTAAAATTTAAATTTGAGGAAATGCAGTACATACATCATATTATGCATCTGTTTCGAGCTCGGCGATGCCATGTAGAGTAATTTGCTGTAATAAACTGCATGTTAGCGCGCCTCCCAAATTAGACGTGCCCTGCTGTTTTAAAGTCCTTTTTCCGTGGGTCATGAAAAAACTGACGCCCGTCCCGAACTTATCGCCCGGGGCGCCTCAGTCACTTTCTGCGCTTCCGGTTGGTAGGTGTGCCGTACAATCTAAATGGTACATGGTGCTAGCAACTTGCTAGTAGCAAGTAAGGTACTACAGATGAGTTGAAATATTAAACACCCTCTGTGGTTTTTGAGCACCCCTCCACGCTCTCGAAAAGTGTACGAACCCATGGCGTTTCATTTCTAATGTATGGTAGAACAGGGTATTCTTCGTATTGCATCAGCATTTGTTCTGTGTGATGTTATATTCCGTATGTGTGATGAATATCAACACTGTCGCATTGCTCCGCAGGTGGGCTGCTTATAACTGCAGCCAAAGGAACATTGACGCATCGTCCGTCAACCGACGGGAAGTGTTGGGCGCTGTGCTGTATCTTGTTAGATTTCCGCTACTGACAGATGCCCAGTTACTGGACGGGCCGGCTAAGGTACGTAGTAAGTAGTACGTGATCAAGTACGAAATGACTTTCCTCAGGGCCAAATAAACCGGAGCTCGGACTGAAGCCACCTCGGAGACAAATGACAACCATACACGTAACAAAATATTTATGTTAGTGTAGACTGGTTTGTTATTGCAATCGGAAGCATGGAACATCTTTAACTACAAGCACGCCGCCATTAAACCGCAGCTCCCGTTTCCAGTAGAACCCCGACAAAGTTAGCGTGTTCATACGTTAAAATTAAAATTTCCATTTGCGTCTAATATTCCGCCGGTTCCAGGTGCGCGCTCTGGCGTTATTAATTATACGATTCCGGATCTGAGGATGCTAGACGTTGCATGCATACTTAGCGATCCAGTAACGGTTAAGAAATTGTCCTGGTAAGCCGATGGCCCGGTAGTCTTCGCTGGCGCAGCGAATTTTGTTAAAAGTCTACAGCGGAGTCTTTTTACAGGCGGATCTCGGTTTCAGTTACGCCGATGCCGCCGCATGGTGTTCGTTGTTTGAGTTATTTCCTGCAGTGTGAGGGTAATCCGGAATCGCTGGTACGGACGTCGCAAATTAAAGGGGAGCTGCGTGTGCTGCCATGGAAAGCAGAAATTGCACCTGTTAAAATACGTATGTTGATTTACTGTAGTCCTCTTGATATCAATCGAACACACGATTATTGAATTGTTCGTTGATTATTAAATTGTGTGGTATGTGATTTTTAATTAAATAGACTTAATTTTCTAGCCATCTCCCATTTGTTCTCACCCAAAGAACCTCGTGGAGGATTCAACTTTTATATGGAGCTCATGGTGAGGTACTACTACAGATAGTACGATCGGCTAGTACTACTACGATTTTTCTCATATTTCGGTCACTATAACTTTTTAAGCATACGGTTTCATATTTTTGGTCAATGTCACTTACAAGTTACTGCATCCCAAAGAACATGAACAGCTGCCAATCGCACAATGTGCGTTGTTATTTGTTTTGCACTGGTCTGTAGTCATCATTACAGAATTAAAAATGTCGAAATTTAAAATTTCTAAACTTCACAAAACTGAAAGAGCGGTTACATTGCACTCGCTCCAGTTCATGTTCTTCAGTTGGTTATTTTATGGAAATTTCTTTAAATTTATACTTCGAAATTCATGAGTTTCACTATATGAAAACTAATCATTTCTGGGATTTTCGTTTGTCAGCAGAATTTTACACCAGTTGACCAAAATATTACAACGTGCACTTGATGTGACCGAAATCTGAGAAAACCCGAAGTACGAGTAGAAGCATGATTATCGCGTCTGCAGCTTGGAGTAATTTGGTTTTTTATTCGCTGCTCGCACACGTCAATAACTAGTGCTGAGCTGATGGCAATAATATTGTCAAATGTTTGCTGTCAGCGATTCTGCTCAGCCGACCTGCACATGCGTATAACAAGATGTGACATAATAACTATAATGATACCAATACTTACTACTGTTTCTCGACTACGTTTAGGCGGAATCGTGTTACAACTTCTACGTACGCTGCAGCGCCGTTGTACGTGATCAAAGTAAGAGTTTGTACTGCAGAAGCTGTTGAATCCGGTGAAAGGTTACGTCAATCCCATGGATTTCTCGTTGAAACTGCAAGCGGAATTCACTGCTGTGCTTCCGTCTGGAAGCTGAATAAACAGTATTAAACACGGTGCGCGTTAGGATGTGGTCTACGAACGTCAATGCAGTGGATCTGCCGAGTGATTGTGTTTGATTGCCCACCCAGAATTGGCATGCTACGAGTATCTTTGGTTCTTGTATCCATGCCTTTTTCTAGTTTGCACAGTTTTGATCGCGCACTCGCAGCATTTTTACAATTGATGTCTCACATACTGTAGTGCATAATTCTGTTACTGCGCTGTACATAGGTATACTGTACCTTCTTTTCCAAGATATTTTCCCGAGGGGCTTTGTTGATACCTGCCAAATGAGCATTCAAAATTGACGTGTCTTCCAAGTAAAGCACCTCATTTCTGGTTCCAGCAAAACTAGCCGGAAGCAGAACTTACCGTCGGCGCTTAAGCTAGTTATTCACCGACAAACGGTTCCCAAAACGCAAAGTGGGGCAAGACGACGACAGTCCACTGTACTGATTTTGTTATCCCGGAGCTATAGCAGTAAACTTGTAATGTTCGTCAGCGCACAGCTGGCCAGTATATTCCTTAACAATTCCTACGCTCACGAAGACCCGTACTTGTGATTCAAATACCGTTAAACAACGAAATTATCATCGATGCTATGACAGACAAACACAGGAGGCTCACAGTGATCTTTATTGTACAAATAAAGTGGACCAAATACCGCGTGAATGCGGGGAAAGAACCAAGACGCCAATGTCTGGCATGAAATCAGCAAGTCTAATTGCTGCGAGCGAGTTCTAGCGCGTAATGAAAAGTGTAGAGAAAGAAGTGCTGGCGGCAACGGCGTCACGCTGGCCAGACATGTGGAATGTGATGCGCAGACTGGACTCGTATCCAACGCGAGCGTATAAGCGCTGGTCATACAGCGAGGAAGACGAGAGCAAGTATGCTCAGTGGTCAGATGCAACCACTTCACGTACGGGCAGGGGATAAAAGGTGGCTGTGGCACCTGCCACTGGCAACTGCCACCGGCAGTGGCAACTGCCACTATGAGTTGTGGCAAGCGATATAACCGGCAAATGCCAGCAATTCGGAATCAAGTAATTCTGCTCCCTAACGATAAGTTCTACTGAGGTAACCTGCTAATTTTATAACCAAAGAGGTAGCCCCCATACGAGATTACGAGAACACTTCATCTCTGGAGTCTTCAGCCTGAGACCTGTGCCAACGTTTCAAAGATCGATGAGCGCTGAAACTACAAACACCGTAAGTTTCGAAATTTCACCATCCTCTAAAATAATGCCCCTCCCGGTTTGAAAATAAGGTCTCCCCGAAATTTCCAGTCATCAAAATCAACGTTTTATTTCTGCATGTTTGAACCGATGGATTCGAAAATAGCCAGACTCTAGAGTGTTAGAAAAACCAGGTTCACTCATCGCTCATCCAGATATGTTGGAGGACCGATAAAAAGAACAAGGTCACAAATTTAGATATACAGTGACAAAATCTGTAGGCGATGCGGCGGTGCCGCGGTA